GTTTCTCTAAATTAAACACTGAAATCTCTTAATTAACTCTTCACTTTTATTCCACACTTGTGCCCTTGTACAGAGACGAACAGTGAGTCATAGCGTCTTCCAGGTATTCCCCTCTTAGTCAGATCTTTGGGAATGGCAATTTCTCATGCACGCATTACAATTCAGTATGAGAAATCGTCATACCACAACACTCCTCCTCGATTTTGAATACTGAATACAAAAATACATAAACAAATCTCAAGTACAAATAAAGAGAACTTAACTTAAGTAGACAGTTCACACATCCCTATATTAATTCTATGCTTCTTGAACAGTTCAAATGGAAGTCCTTTAGTGAATATATCAGCCTTCTGTTCACCAGTAGGTATATATTTAACATTTATAATTTTGGAACGATGCAGATCTTTCACAAAATTGTACTTTACATCAACATGTTTTAAACGTTTCGTTTCCCAAGACTCTAGAGCATGAATACAGGGTTGATTATCTTCAAACACAGGAATAGGTTCTGTAACTGGTACACCTAAATCTTTCAGGAGTTGTTTTAGCCACAGCAATTCAGCCACACCAGTGGCTAATGAAACAAATTCAGCTTCAGTTGACGATAAGGCGACAGAGTTTTGTTTCCTGGTTGCCCAAAGTACAGGGTCTCCAAACATTTCAATCACAAAGCCCGAGATAGACTTCCTTCCTGGATTGTTAGCAAAATCAGCATCAACATACAAGACTAATGGATAATTAGAATTCCCTTTAAACCAGATACCTAATTTGGGTGTACCCTGTAAATATCTTAAGATCCTTTTTAATCCTTTCCATTGAATTTCTGTTGCATTTGTCTGGAATTGACTGAACAGGTTGACTGCGACACAAATGTCTGGTCTTGTAAACATAGTTGCATACATCAGGCTTCCAATTAACTCTCTATATGGCTTCTCTTTGACAATTATAGATCCAGACAAATCAAGATTTGGGCTAGGCTCCAGTGGAGTCTGGACTGCTGAGCTAGTGTCCATTTTAAATTTTTGAACAATTTTCTTTCAAACCATACACCACTGCAAAATGAGAGAAATCATCAAGAAAGGTTAGGAAATAGCGTACACCGTTATAAGCTGTTGGAGCAATTGGACCACACAGGTCACTATGTATTCTTTCCAATGGCCTAGTTGCCTTTTTCCTAGTTCCATGAAAAGGTAGCTTTACTTGTTTACCTTCAACACAAATCTCACATAGTCCATTACCATCACCAATATTCCCAACACCATCCACCATTTTACATACCTGTTTTAAATATGATTTACCTGGATGGCCCAATCTCCTATGCCACAAGTCTGCTTCACTTGACATTGAAATTGAATTATTTGCACTTTCTACATCCACATACATGATCAACCTGTATAGATTAGATGTGAGTCGATGGCCTAAAGCAACAAGAATTTTATCTAGTTCAACAAAACATTTTCCATCCCAGAAAGTAATTTTGTAGGTTAGTTTTTCTAAACTAGAAATGGACAGTAGATTATGAGTTAAATTTTCTGTAATTAGTACTTCAATATCAAGTTGACGGCTCTCTCCATTGACAAAAGTCTTGCAACGCAAAACCCCTTTCCAAAAGGCTCTCAGAATTATTTTCTCTTTAGCCACCTGAATTATCACTGGTTTTGATAACCACTTCTTATACTGAACAGGTACATCTTCTTTTACAAGATGTTTTGATGCCCCTGAGTCAAGTATGAATTCAATAGCAATACCATCATAACTTGTAACACTTGTCTCCCCTGAACTATTTGTATTAAGAGCATTATGACAAGAATCAAGAGTAATTATTTCTGGTACCTGTTCACACATGAAACTGTAGACAATGTCATCATCCAGTTTAGCTAGATTTGCTGTCTCCGTCTTTGAATTTGTTGATGAACTTGTAGACGGATTTGTTGTTGTTGATTGGGTCAGCTGTGCTGTTTGAGGGTTGCCTTGGAAACCACCACGGCCTCCTCGATGTTGCCATCCTCGAGCGCGGCCGCCGAATCCACGTCCTCCACGGCCTCCTCGAAAGCCATGAGTAAAGCCAAAGTGGTTGTACGAGGAGTATGAGCTGTGGCCCCCACGGCCGCCATCTTGATTTTGACTTCCTCCGCGTCCTCTGCTAGGTGGTTGTTGGTCCCTTTCTCCATGATTTTGATAATTTCCTCGACCTCTTCCTCCACGGAAAGCTCCTCCTCCTGGACACCAGCATTCTCTCTTGCGATGTCCAAGATTTCCGCAATTGTTACACGGAAAACCAAACTTGTTTTGATAAGGGGAATACCTTGCTCCTCCCCTTGTGAAGAAAGCAACACTCGGTGCTTTATAAGAGTTTGTTTTCTTTATTCCTTCTTGATCCATTTCAAAATCTTCAATATCTGATCGAACAGAATTCATTGTAAGTTGACTGGCATTCGTTGTTTTCAATGATGTCACTAGAGGCTTGTACTCGACTGGTAAGGCACCCAAGAATTGCAGAATTTCGTCTAACTTTTCAATTTTGGCACCTGCCTCTTTGAGCTCCCTTACTAATTTATCAAATCTCAGACAAAAATTCTCAAATTTCTCTTCTTTGGGAGCATATTTTATCAATGCATATTGTTTCCCAAGGTGCATTCTTGTAGTCACAGAAGTCTTTTTAAACCGTTCACTTAATGCTTGCCAGATCTGATAACTTGTTTCTAGATCTTTTATTATTTCAATTTGACCTTCATCAATATGTGTCACTAACACATTTTTGCACACCGCATCCAGTCTTCTCAACTCTTTTCTCTCCTCCTCTTTCCTCTTCTTAACCTGAGCACTGTCTCCAGGTCGCTCAGTCTCTGGTATCAACAAAGTTTCCAAACCAACGTTAACAAATCGTATGAGTTCTGATTTGGCTGCTGTTAATTGAATTTCCATTCGATATTTCCAGTTGGTATAATTCTTTCCATTAAATAATGGAGCCTGGATTTTATTTTCCTCCATCGTTTCTCTACAAA